TGACTCTTTTTAAACTCTTAATTCTTTCAAAATCTCTCTTTAGTTAACTTTTCAGACCCTTTCTCTCTCTTCTAGGACTCCCATAATGCAAATATTGTTTCACTTAACGTTGTCCCATAATTCACATAGGCTTTTTTTCGCTCCTTTTCATTCTTATTTTTCTCCTCTGAATGGATAATATTAAGAGATCTGTCTTCAAGTTTGCAGATTAATTATTCTTGATTAAGCCTTTTTTGAAGCTCTCTCTTGCATTTTTCATCTTATTCATTGCATCCTTCAGCTCCAGAATTTCTACTTGGTATATCATGATTTATCTCTCTTTGTTGAACTTCTCATCTTGTTCATGCATTGAGTTCCTGAGCTCATTGGGTTATCTGTGGTCTCTTGAATCTTACTGCACTCCCTTAAAATATTTTTAATTCTTTTTCATTGACTCATAGATCTCTATTTCTTTGGAATTGGGTACTGGAAAATTATTGACAGTATCATGTTTCCTTACTTTTTCATGTTTCTAGTGGCTTTACATTGATGTCTGTGCATTGAGGGAGCAGTCAGTTCTTCTCTAATTTTTAAAGACTAACACTGGTTAGGAAAGACCTTTCTCTGAAGGTGGCCATGAGGGCTTTGACTGGGTGGATGCAACATCTCTGATTCTAGGTAGAGCACAGTGGCATAGTTTCCATACCTCTATCAGCCAAGGTCAACATTGGTCAAGACTGCATGGTCTTTGGTGGCCAAGACTGTGGAGGTCCTGCAAGTGGCAGTGGTGCCTAGGACTTTTGGGGTCCTCCAGGGCAGAGCTGCTGGGGTCTTCTAGTCGCCCTTTTTGCCTGTGGGAGAATGTGCCAGACTGGGCTATCCCACTTGGTTTCAGGCACTCAGAGCAGCAGTAACACTGGGGTGCTGGGCTCAGGTACATGTGGAACTACCGCAGTGCCTGAGACCTGGGGCACAGGTGCACTTGCTGCAGTGGTAATGCTGGTGTCTTAGATTCAGACAATGCAGGTCTCCTGGGAACCCGGGTCTGAGGCTCTGAGACTCACACAGTATTTGGGCCTAGAGGGCAGGGGGCAGAGCACCAGCAGCTCAGCCTCAGTGATGCCAGTTCAAAGCCATGACTCAGGACCCAGGGAATGGGGCATAGAGCCTCAAAGTACTGCCCAGGGATGGCAAGTGAGTGCCATGACATCAGACTCACAGAGTGGGCCAGAGAGCAGCAGCTGCAGGAGCACCGCCCAGTGGTGCTGGATCAAAGCTGTGACTTGGAATCTGAGAGGCAGGGCACAGAGAAGCAGCAGCAGCTCCCGTCCATAGAGGGTGAGAGTTATGGTGTCCCAAACGCAGAGAGTGGGCACAGCATCAGGTGGGGCCCTGAGGCAGGTCTCACAGCAACAGCAGCCCAGCCCCCATGAGGAGACACATCCCATGCGGCTCCATCAGCAGGGCTCAGTGTTGTAGCCGAGGCTGCAAATGGCCATGGCAGAGATGAGCCTCTCTGAGGTGCTCCTGCTCTTCTGTCCCTTGGGATACCATTCACCTGAGGGAGTGCCCCGAGCTGCTTGAACTGAGGTGGGGGGGGGGGGTGCATTGGAGGCGGGGGTGGGGGGGGGGTGCAGATAAAATGGTAAAATGCTTCCCACACCTCTAAGTGGCCAGGCCTGTCGCTCAGCCCCACGGGATTCTGTCTCTTTGTTGTAGCTCAGAGCTTTCCCAGAGCTGTTTCTGCATGTTGGTCGTTGTTTGTTTATTGTTTTTGTGGGAGATGAGCTTTGGGGCTCTCTAGCCGGCCTTGCTGATGTCAGCCCCTACAATGAAACTCTTGTTTTATTTCAAGTTTGAGAAAGTAGGAAAGAGTCAGGAAAGGTGGTAGTGAGAATAAAATGTACATCTGAACTGGGTGGAGGAGAGATTTAGACTGTGGCATAAATAACACACACAAGTATATTCAAGTTGGTAACAACAGGATATGTTTTGTAAAATACCTTCTTTTGCTTAAGATGAATGCTAATCTTTTACTTTGTTATAGTAACATGTGTCCTTTAAAATGTGCTATTTATGGTGACCCACAAACCAAGCAGAAGTAAACCAATTTGAGACTTAAATGTTTTCTCTAGCTTATCCATATTCAAATAAGAAAAAAAAAAAAAGTCATACTTTAAAAGTGCAGAGTCGTGAGTTACAAATTTTCCCACCCATGCCCATGCAGTAGATAGAATCTGTATCTGTTTATCCAGGTATATTGAGGTTCTGGTAACAGGTCATAATTTGGGGCTGAGTGAATAAATGAATGTAAAAGGTAGGAGCTCACTTGATCCTCAGTTTTTTAAAAAAAGAAAAAGTAACTGTAACTGGTCCTTTAAAAACAACCTATTATCTTTGCTGCTTTACTGGTAACATGCTAAAATGTCTGAGCTATTCAACAAACTCACATAGGAGCAACTAGTAGTCAAGTACAGACCTTTATTAAATCAATGATAAATCTTAGGTGGCATACGGAAGAAGCTTGGTTTATTGGGGAAGCCTGATTTGGTTATTGATTGATTGGTTCTTTTCAGTAGTGAGGTGTGGTCCTGGCTGTTTCCGGTCAGGGTCTGCAGTGTATCTGTGAAGAGATAAAATTGGGAATCAGGCATAGGATCTGACAGTGGAGAGTAAGTGGGATACAAAGTGTTTCGTGAGAATGTAGCCTCTGGAAGGCCCTCACACCACGCGATGTTTAAATTTAGTTTCAACATTTGCAACACAAATAAAGAGAAATTCACAGTTGACACAAAGATGAGTTGTCTTCATCCATTTTCCTTTAAAGTTGCTTACTCTAGAAAAGATGCCAAATTTTCGTCGTTCCCATAATCACCCTCCACAGACAGCACACATCCTTTGTACATCAAACAGCAGTGACTGAACAGCAGTGACTCAGGGGGAATGACCCTGGGGGATTGGTTTGCTGAGATTGCTCTTCGCTAATTACACATGCATGTCTGTTCCTCCTCTATTTTAGAATTAGAATAGGAAGACCTTCATCCAGAAAGCTGGGTCAGCTTGGCCACTGGGGATCTGTTACTAAATAAGCCAGCCATCTTTTCACTGTTTGCAAAGGTGAATTGATTTTCTAAAAGTGACCTTTTCAGTCCTAAGGAAAACCACTTCTTACTGCCCCCCCACCCCCAAGATTAAACTCGGTAAATTCTTAGCTACAGTCAGCCAGGACTCTTCCCCTGAGCCACACTTCTTTCCCAGGGAGGGCTCGCTCAGCCATTCACCTGGAGGAGAAACCCGGCTTGACTCCAGGCCCATTTATCTCCATGTAAACCGTCCCTGCGTTTAAATATGATGTTATGTTAAAGGTTGTCACTGTGGCTGTAAAATTTAAAATATCAGGGTCCAGAAGCAAAGCATCACTGGGGCGGACGCCTCTCGGGCAGCCTTGGTGGTAGGCTGTGCTGTGGTTGCGGGAAGACACTCTATCCATTGCTGCGAGTTATTTGTGGCTCTCTGAGGAATGCACTTAACACTGCTCTCGGTGCTCTCTCAGGGGTAGACGTGGAACTTTCTAGTTCTTGTTAGGATGTTTGCTCCAGGCCAGGGGTGTCCTCTGGCACAAAAAGCCTGATATCAGGAAGGAACTCGCGGGAGAGCCCTGAGAAGCGGACCAGGAATGTGCCGTTTTCTCATCCCAGCCGCTGCTGGGAGTGAGCTGCCTGGCAGCATCGCCGCTGCTGGAATTTCAGCCCCGCTCCAACCTGACAGCCACAGGAAATCCCGGACAAGCCGCTGTTTGGAAGGGGTGCATGTGAAATGGACTGGTTTTATGATTAACGGAAAGTTATTGGGGGGGGGAGAAAAAAACATTTTTGTTTCACCTCATGTTGGTAGAAGTCTTTAAAAGCTTGTGGTTCACTTACCTTTTTTACAAAGTAATTAAAAATGTATTTCAGTCTTTTTTTTTTTAGAATTAAACTGTACAGTATGTCCATGGGATTAGCTTAATCATAAAAGCTTATTCTGCATTTCTGACAATATGCTGTTGACGGTAAATTTGTTGGACTGAAAGTGTGCAGATTCCAGAATAGGCTGAGTTGTTACCTTAGAGGGGAAAATCCCTGATACAGATTCTGTAATTGTCTCCATTTCTCTGAAAGCATTATAGAAAAAATGGCATCTAATCGAGGGTTATGAGTTGTCTGAATGTGACTTCATAGTGTAAGTACTGAGCGCTGTGGTGGGGAAAGGGCTCCTTTTACTCCTGGGCCGTGGCTTTCAGCTCTGCTCCCCGCCGGCCTCGCTACGAGACTCAGGGCCAGTCACAGACCTGGGCAGCCCCGCTCTCGGGCAGAGATAGCTCTTGGGATGAAAAGTCATGCATTTTACTTTGTCTGTAGCAATGCATTGTCATTAGCATCCACTTTCCCAGTTTCTTTCACGGGACTGTTTATCCAATCATGAACACCCACAGTTATACTGCATGTGCATGCGTGTATATGAAGTTACGGGAGATTCGAGTTTTCTGTAACATCTGTAATGTACAGAACTCCTTCGAGACCGTTTTCAGGGGGAGGAACGGCCTCTTTGGTGCCTGTTCCCAGAGCTTTGCACGGAGACTATAAATTAGGCCGTGGAAGGCTATAATGAGCCAGTAATTTATAGACTATTAAGATACTTAGTTAGAAATTATTCTTGAGCATGTCCAATAGGGAACACATGTTTACAAAGGACAAACAGATTCAACACAACATGTCTTTAACCTAACCAAGTCCAGGCAATTAACAGAACGGGATGTCTTATTTCGCCTATCTCCCACTCCCCCAAAATAGGATCGCTAGCCACTTGTTAAACCGCATTGACTTTTTAATAGACAAAGCCGCTGTGAGGGCTCTGCCACCAGAACTGTTCAGATTAAGCCCCTGTCAGAGTGCGGCCAGCACGGGATGAAGCTCTCCTTGCCGTGCCTCCTCTCCTGTTGGACTTGTGATAATTCACTGCAGCTTTCTTCTTCTCCGCAGAGTGCCTACCGCAGGGCCGGGATGGCCTTCCTGGCCTGCTGACTGTGGGGCCCGGACCACGGGAACGGCGCTGCTCCCTGAAGGTGATTCTGTTCCTGGGGTGGACAAAGCAAAGCACACGGTGACCTTCTCTGCACCCCCAGGAGTGGGCCGGTTTGTTGTGACTACGGAGGGGCTGACTCCAGCTCTTCCCCAGCCCCCTCAATGCCTAGTCTTGTTTACTAGACGGCCGTTGGCTAATTAATGGCAGGATGTTTGGGAGAGTGTGTAGGTGGACAAGAATGCGGATCACACAATTTTGAAATTTTAATTTGGAATGGATTTACTGCCCTCAGCTCACATATCTTAAAAGCAGTGTCTTATTTTTTTTTTCTTTTTTCTTCAGTGTTTAGTCTATGTTTTAGTTGATGCATTTAGTAATCCAAGTTTGGGACAAAGGAAACAAAATTAAAAGGACAGTCAGCTTTCCCCTGGCACTTTACTTTCCAGCCTCGTTGACTACATCCACATGGACTTTAGAGACGGATGTCTATTTTGTAAACTCACAGGAATCAAAGTTTGAGGAGACTTGCTGAACTCTGTTCCTGTCCTCCCTGCTCCCACTCACAGTGTATGTCATGTTCATGCCTTCTTCCCAGCTCTCTGCATATCTGCCTGGCGTGTGTTTTCCCGCATCCGGACCCTCTCCCCATCTTCAGCTCTTTCCTTCCCTGTCCTTGTTGTCCCAGGCCGACCGCTCTCACACCCACCTTCCCCTTCAGGAAGGGAGCGAGGATGTGCTTTCTCCCAGCACCACCTCCCTGAGGCTGCACATGTGGACAGGAACTGCCGGTAGCAGCCGAGCTACCCTCTGGCATCTCGGCTCTCTCCAGTACGCGAGGAACTGGCACCCTTGGGAACAAGTCAAAATAGAGCAGATGTAATTGTACAGTTCCTGATTAGACTGGAATTGCAAAAGAACACAGGAAGTTATTCCTTTAAATTCGTAGGAGTTTTGTGTAATTTTGCTTTTATCATGGCTTTTACTCACACTGAGACAGCCTTTGTAAAGAATTAATAGACACAGAAATGAGAAAAATGAAAGATTTTGTCTGGTGACCAAAGTCATTGTGCAGCCCAGCTAATATGATTGGGCCACATTATTCCCATTTGTTAACTATCACTTACCTGTTCTATGTTAGTCCTTCTGGAAAAAATCTTTATGTCAAGGACAGAAAGTGCAGATATATAATATCAGAAGTTTCTAAAGGGTTTTGATGTTCCATCTGTGTTGTTAAAATGTATGATTAAACTTTTCTTTTTATCATCATTCTTATTTTTCTTGGCGTCCCTAATCATAGAAAATTATAAGCTTGCAGTAAACATCCTAACTTTTGAAACGACAGCATTTATTGTATTTGGTTTCGATCTGCCTGGCTTATTGATGTATAAAATTTTCAGGGGCTATTTTTTCACATCAAAATTCCTTCTCTTCCCACATTATACATTTTAAACTATGCACAAAGCAAAAAATATAGGGTTTAGGGTTTTCCCCCTTCATTTTATTCTACCTGATCTCCTTATACTCTCAGAGAAGGAAGACTCAACGTACATTTCTCTCAGAAATATGACAGGTCTGTGTTTTTGTTGGTCTGGCGTATGTTTGTCTATCTTGAACAGTCTGACAGGTAATTATTTATAAAATCTGGTTTTGCCCAGTAAGTCCATATAATAACCTTTCACTTTCCATCATAAGCCAGTGAGCTGAATTTAGAATCAAACAAGGTCATTTATGTCTTTCCTGAACCAGCCTACATGTCCCCATAATTGCTCAATATTAATATTTTTAATTCTTTTTTTTTTTTACTTTTCTACTCATAGGTTCTTTCCCTGACTCTTTCCACAACACTAAATTCAAAGTGAAATAAAATTTCCTTAAGCAGTGAATATAGAAAAAAAGAAGGAACATTTCAGAAAATGTGTGTTCAATAAATTTCTCTCTAAAGATTAAAATGTTAGGTAGATTCATAAAATATTAGTGCAGAAGATGGTCTTAAAAATCATTGAAAACAACCATTTGTTTCACACATTAAAACGCAGGGCCCAGGGAGGGAAACCAACGTGCCCAGATGGCTCAGCAAAGGCAGGGAGACCAGTGCCAGGTCCTGGCCCCAGGTCCCAGGCTAGCGGTGTGCTCCATGCTGGGCTTACTCCGACCTTACCAAGACACGTCGCTTCTATGATGTGTGTACCTTAGACGTGTTATATTAAAATGTTCTTCAAAGGGACTGATATTAACTAAATAATCTGCCAGTTACACAACAATGTTTTTAAAAAAGAAGTCTGCAAACAAGGGAGAGGGGAATTAGCCTACTTTGTGTCAGGAAGCAGATCGCTGGCATTTCTTCTATCTTCATAATGACTTTATGAAGTACATGCTATAAAACAAAAAATAGACACAAAAATCATGCTCTCTAAATCAAATGTGAATACACAGAATAGTTCCCATTTTTGTAGGCTTGCGTTTTGGAGATCAAATTTGAAAATAAAATCAGTAAATTGCCTTTCTAGTGGGAAATTGATACTGCCTCATAGATCTGAGAGTAAAGGAAATAGTAATATTTCTCCTTTCACCTGAATTTGAAAATTCGACTTTGTGAACATGCCATTTTAAAACGATGTCTTTAACCTTCCTGTCTTTACATATCGCAATAGTTGAGATCCAAAAAGAATGTTCCAGCTCTGGCCAGGCAGCACAGTTGGTCAAAGCATCCTCCCATATGCCACGGTTGTGGGTTCCAGCCCCAGTCAGGGCACATACAAGAACCAGCCAATGAGTGCATCACTAAGTGGAACACCAAATTGATTTTTCTCTCTCTTTCTCTCTCACATCAATAAATAATAATGTTCCCATTTTAGAGCTAAGAATTTTTATTTAAAAAAACAAAGCACAAATATTTTTTTAAATTATGTACGTACTTTCTGTATGTGGGGAAAATTATTTATTACTGTCTGTCCTTTGTTTCTATAAAATAATAAATAATTCACATTTAATGCTTTTACCACGAAGAAGACAAATAAATATAACTGGCGATTCTTGTTCAGAAAGAAAATATATGTTTACTTGTCTAGAAAGTATAAAATTTAATTTCATGAAAAAGAATTTATATAGTTCCCATATCAGATATTTCTTCCCAGTTAATGTAACCCCTTGTGTAAAACCAAATCGCTATAGAGGAACTATTCCCTCATCTGTCCTCCTGGAATTTAGATAGAACTGTCCCAGGTTGCATTTAAAATTTTACCATCAACCATGTACACATCTCATAAAATATTTTACAGTTTCCTGTATGCTCTGGCTGAACATTTCATAGTACATAAACACTTCTGCAAATAATATCAGGCATCAAGCCGAACATATCATGGCAGTGGCCCCCACATAAAGCCAAGTGTCCAGCCATTTATTTTCTTATTTTTATCTATTTATTTGAAAGCCACAGGGAAACTGTGTGCTCTGATTGTGCAGTGGCAGGGGTGGGGTCCGGCGGTTTGAGGGGAGCTGTGTTCACCAAGCAGGGGCTCTGCAGAGGGCAGCCAGCCGCCCTTCAGCAGCAGAACCATGCCTGCAGGAGCCGGAGGGAAATGTGACGCCTAAATAAGGGCCAGATGCCTTTAAAAACTCGGATATTAAAAAGTCATATCTCTTCAAGCAAGCCTTTCGTGTTGTGAATAGGACAGTGATATCATAGCACTTAAAAAGAGAAACAAAGAAAGAGATTGGCATTTGTGTTTTGGAACAAAATAGCCAATATTTAAGCTGTCATAAGTCATGGGGATTTTGACAATTGAAGCAGATTTTAAAACAATTAATTCTTACAAAGTCACGAGAAGCCCATATACAGTGTGTCATTGTTGGAAACCTCGGTGATTCTGTATGGAGCGTTATATTCATGTTCTCTTTTCTGCTCATCACCACCCAACAGTATCCACTGTTCTTGTTTTTTTCCAAAGGAAAATAAAAATAGAAAAAATATAGGAAGAATGAATAATCAAGGTGATTGCTTACATAATTTTACTTTACCAAGTAACACTGCACTTGCTATTAAAATTATGGTATATTGTGTCAGTGTTTTAACAGTAAGTTTGACACAATTATGGCACATAGTATGCCCCCCTGTGCACTAAACACTTTGTGTGGGTTGTCTCGCTAAACACAACCCCATCACAAGAAATGCACATGCTCTCCCTGCCACTTTTGGGCAGCAGGGGGAAACTGAGGAACGGAAGGCTCGGTGCCTTATGTGGAGGCACCCAGAGTGCAGTTGGCGTCCATGCCCAGCACGCTGACCCCAAGGCTCATGCTCAGAACCACTGAGACACAGCATGGAGTTTTTGTGAATAAAGTGTTGTAGGGGCTTGTCAGAGAGGATTGCTCCCAAACTGGAAGCACTTCTCAGCACCAAAAACCCTGATTATCAGAGAAACCCATTTTAACTTTCCTTCTTTAAGGCCAAATAGTGTGTATATAATAGAATATCATATAATGTATAATAGAATATAATTACATAGAATAATGCCAAATCTTCTGTAATGTTTTCAGCCGTAAGACAAATAAATACAAAGATAAATGCACATACTAAGCATCATTATACAGATTAGGAACAAAGTGTCCTCAAAGGTCCATGTGTACCAAGCCTCCCCTTGCGAAAATGAGATCTCTCCAGAAAGTTCTCGTTACTTAGGCTGCTAGTGTGTTCTTTCATGCAGGTAAGTACCCCGTGTTATAAAAGTCCCCACCTTGTGTACATGTGTCTGCCATGGCACACAGAGTCCCCACGGCAGTCCTTGGCCGGTGTTTGCTCATTACTTAGGTCATTGTTTCTCCAGACCCGGGAGGCCCGTGAGCTGGAGGGCGCAGTGAGCAGAGGTCAGGAAGAAGGCCGCTGAGCTCAGCTTGAGTTAGCAGTGATCCTTTTCCTCTCATAGGGGGGGGGCAGCCTTTTCCCTTCAAGCCCTCGGTCTGTGCTGCCTCAGCACAAGTCGTTTTCTGATGTCTGCCTGAT